CCCCTTATTTGAATTCAGAAGAGCAGTACTCATCATATTATCACATATAGCCTGAGAAAGTATGAAACCAAGTAAATAATTACCATCCATCATAAGCCCAAAGCCCATTATAAAATGCAAGTCCAATTGCTCCAAAAGATGTTGCAGTGCCATCAAAAGCATTTGAAAAATTCTCTGTTTTTCCTAGACACAAATACATAATATACAATAATGTTAGTGGTTATACATTGGTTAACATTTATTAACACAAACATTTAAAGACAGAGTTGTATGTATAGATCTATAAGAAGACTGACCTTGTGCCAACAGAACGATTCCTGCTCCAACTATGACAAGAATGATTACAAGTTTGGCTGCAGTAAAGAAGTTCTGCACATAACTTGCCAGTTTGACACTCAAACAGTTGATGGATGTGATGATCACTGCAAAAAAACAGAAAATGTAATCATATATTTTCCCACCTATACATTTATAATTAAACACATTTTTCGAAGAAGACTTGGTATTAGGGGGTTAGTTTATCTGATAATTCTAAATTGACCAAAGGTGTGAATGTGAGTGCAAATGCACGTGGAGCAAGCAGCAGCAACTGTAGAGACTTCAGGACCAGACTGAGTATTGACATAGGTGTTGGAGAGGTTGTTGAGGGTCACTTTGTTGCTGCCCAATCATCTACTGGCGATGACGATATACTGGATGGGAGAGGGTGATGACCCTCGGGTCTTCCAAGCCACGCTGGAGGCATAACAGTGGCCTCCTGCAGAGTGAGCATCGTGACTACTGCCGCCGCTCTCTGGAAAGGATCAAATGAGCCTGCCGCTGGCCTTACGATAGAGCTTCAACGACATCTGCAGGGCCATCATGGATAACTTGGGCCTCTCCCCGGAAGACCATCATGAACGGTTTCGGGACAGTCAGATGAAGGTAGTGGAACAACTGTTCATGTGGTCCTGGAAACTGAATGACACAGCAGTGAGGTGGCTGTAGCCTAGGCCATCAGAGGGAAACCACCATGAACTGGTGGTTCTGCAGCAGTTCATTGAAGGGCTGCCCAGGGAAATGGCACGATGGGTCTGCTCCCATCGGTCAGC